ACTTACCGCAGTTCTTGAGGGAGAGCAGGGGGTGGTCAGGGGGCAGCGGCTCTGGCGTTGTGACGTCCAGGCCCGCTGCTGCGATCTGGCCATGGGCCAGTGCATCGTACAGGTCCTCCTGGTTCACCACGGCCCCCCTGGCAAATAAAGAGGGAGAGGCCTGCGCTGCTGCTGAGGGGTCCCATGGGCTCCCAGGGGCGTGTGGCCAGGGCACACACCATGTGGGACAGCCTGGGCGGTGGCATCCGGGTCCCCAAGGACTGCCTGAGCAGAGGTCAGACCCTCTCTGGATGCACCTGAACCTCCCAGTGCAACGAGCTGCTCCCGTTCCTGCTCTAGGCTGCCCACCAGCAGGGAGAACAGCCAGGTGCTCAAGCGTGGAATGACCCCAGCGCAGCTGAGGAGGGAGGTGCAGGCAGCCCAAGGCATCCTGAGCAGCTGGGCAGATGCTGTGTGTCAGGCTGCATGGGTTCTGCCCTGCCACCGCGCTCCGCAAGAAGGCAGTGGGAACAGGAGGCTACCGATGGACTTGGCCAAGGACCCCTGTCACAGCTGCCTCCATCCCAAGAGCAAGACTTCTGGCAGTCGCAGCCCTCTCCTGGGCAATCCCGCAGCCTCACCCTCCCATCACCCAACAGTCACCCATCTGTCCATCCCACTGGGGTGGGACACGGGGAGGAGACAGAGGCTGCAGTCCCCTGAATAACTTATCCTGCCTTTGGCTTGATCCCAAGAGACCTTGGGCTGGAGCGAGAGGCCACACACTGGGCAAATGGTCCCAGCGGCTGGAGCCATGAAGGCATGCTGTCTGGACTCCCAGTGGAAGCACATCTCACAGCCTACCAGATCTCCCCTGCAACCACAGCTGTTGTCAGGGTGACAGTCACCTCCCCATGCAGGAGACTGGGTTGCGATTACCTGCTTGTGTTGATGAACACAGAGGTCTTCTTCATTCTGCTGAAGAAGTCCTTGTTGCACATTCCCTGGGTGGCCGGAGTCAAAGCACATGTCACCACAATGAAGTCGGACTCTTCGGCCAGCTTCATGAGGGGGACTGAGTGGAGAAACACAGGTCACAGCTCTGCTGGGGGACCTCACCAACACACCTCAGCAACCCTCTTATCCGTAAGGTTTGCCAGCAGGTGAGTGCTGCTCTGGAGAGACCTGGCCGACCCTTCTCCACAGACGGGGAGACACAAGGACCAGCAAACACCCAACAGAACGCATGCACATTCCTACAGATACTACAGCAGTGTTTTGTTTCGCTTTTGAACTAAAATCAAGCTGAAGGAGAATATCGCAATGCTTCAGCCATCTGGCCCAAAGGAGGCTCTGGTATGTATTTCATGTTTAGACAGCAAAACATGGCAGCAGCAGTCTATACCAGCATTAAATCTCTCTATACAGTACCTACAGATGATGACTTGTGCCACTTTCACTCCTGGAGGTGAGAGGAAAGTGCAAGGAGCAGGACAAGTTCTGCCAACAACTTTATGCAAAAAAGTACCAACTGAAAATGTGCTGGCTTTGGAGTGAAAAGCCAGCACTTGATGCAAATCTTGGGACTCTAACAGGGCTACAGAAAAGTCCTGTTCAGCAACTAGGAGACATTCCCAGGCTTGGTTGGACTGTGACATTTATTTTAAGGCAGGAGGTTAAAGCTGATGTTTGTTTCCAGCAACTAACACTCAGGGAAGATCTGCGGTCAGCCTCAGCCTATCCTGCAGGACCATCCCATGGGGGATGGTCGACAACACCCTTCCCCTCTTCCCACAGGCAGCCACTGCTTTCCCCTCCCTGTCCATTATGTTCCACTTCCTTGTGGGAATGCAACTAACTGGAAATCACAAACAGATGGCCACAGGGGGAAGATGAAAGGCAAAAGCAGCAGAAACAGCCACAGTCCACAATTATGGTGGGTGGTCAGTTAGAGCCCGGGTGTGTCCAGCCTTTGGCTGGAATCGCCCAGCTCAAAGGAGGCAAGCTTCCCTCCCTGCCATCCATCACTGCTGCACGCGAAGTGTTTGGAATTCTCCATTCCCTCTTTTGCTGCCCCCACAGTGGTTCACACCAGCTACAGCAAGGAGCTGCTCAAAACCTCCAGCTCGCACCTTCCCTCCTGCTGGCCCACCCCTGTGGGGTGACACCTCCCTGGAGCCATCCCAGCCATAGTGCTCTGTGCTGCCCTGCAATGGACGACTGACCACCCACCCTGCTCCTGGTGCCTTTCTTACCAAACTCAGCTTCAAACTCTGCAGCACTCTCTGGTTTCGGGTGACTGCCAGTGTACAAAAACTTCTTGACCCCAAATGGCTTTAGGCGGCGGGCAACTGCCTGTCCTAGGAACGAGAAAGAAGACTGTCCAGCTGCTGTGCCAGTGCCTGCCTGAGGCATGCTGCACAGAGATAATGCAGGGCCGCAGGGGTCCGTCAGCCCTCTCCAGACGGTCCATCCTTCGGCAAGCTTGCACTCGGTGCAGCTGACAGCGCAGCGAGCCAGCAGAGCACATCACTTGCTAGCAGGTTGCTGTGGTGGGATCGCTCCTGTCAGGCTGCTTCCAGGCCTGAAGTGTGGTGGGCATGGGGTCGGGGGTGGATGTCTTCTGCTGCTCCTCATGCGAGCAGGAAT